GGCCCCGTGCTGAGCCCCGGCGGTGGTCTCGGCGCCTCCCTCGGTGCTCGAGGAGCTTTGAAACGGCAAACCGGGGCTTCTGCCGCCCGTTCTCAGTTCAGTGACATTTTATGATCATGATCTTCTATTATTTCCAACCGCGGTCCACGAGGTCCCGTTACAATCCTGGCCTGTTGGAGGCGGGATGGGGATGCGATGTGTGCCCCGTGCCTTTTCTCCTGTTTTCAGCCAAATGTGTTTAAACTGGTTGTGCCAGTTTTCCAGCCGCGCTAAATGTGGCATCGATGCCACGCGTTTGGTACTGCAGTCTTAAGAGTTGATGTGACCAGACTCTTCCAAATTAAAAAAAAAAAAAATAAAAAAATGTGTAACTTAGGCTTTTGGGAGCATTATTATGTTTGTGCACAGTCAGTGTTTCCTGATGGGCATTTTAAAAATCCTGCAATCTTGCTTCAGTAGCAGCCTAATTTTCTTATTTATTTAATGTGAAAGTTCACCTCTTTTTATGTAGGTGTATATACAAAACATATGTATATATGTGCATATTCTTGCAACCATTTTAACCTAGGCATTTGCTCTGAAGGTGCACACTGTCCAACTGTGGTGGACTTAGGTCACTGCTACACTCTTGCTGTGCATTAATAGTGTTACTACTTTTTCTCAGAGCACACGTAGTCATAATCAATCATTGTTTTTATTACAAATTTATTGCCAAAATCCTTTTACCTTGTTTTCTTTCTGTCTTTGTATTAATAAAGTGTGTAGAAACTATAACCAGGCAGCATGCAACTTCTAAATTGATAAATAGGCAGGAAATAAAAGTCTCTCTCAGGTGAGTTGTGAACTTCAAAATAGGTCTGTGAGAAATACAGCAATGCTCTCTGAATAGTAGTGCTGGTCTTGATATATTTTAAGGTACATAAAATAATTTTACTATGTGCTTTTGTCTTTCTAAACAGTTTCTTGACAGCCTCCCTTGTCTTGAGGCATTCCTTCAATTTTCTCTGTGTTTTGTTGTTGTTTGTTTGTTTGTTTTCATATAAAAGCCAAGATTTGTATCCAACTGCAATGCTTAAACAATCGAAAAACCCCATGGGAATTGTAAGAACTGCTGTAAGATCGTTTCACCCCTTATTATGTCTTCAGTAGTGGCCAGGAGTAAATGGCTAGGGAAGACTAGCAGAACAGAGCAACTATACATTAATGCATCCTCTGGGAATATCTTCAAACACAAAACAGTTTGTTACTCACAGTTTTCTTGAACCGAAAGTCCTATTTTCTTGAAGTCTCACAGTGGATTTCTTATCCACAAAATTCTCACTTTGGCACAGGTAAGCTTGCAGCATCCACAGCAGCTTGTGGCAGGGAGTACCACAGCATTAACAGTAGGTCACATAGAGAACATTTGTCTGCTCTGGATTTCTGGGTACCTTCATGGGGTGCATCCCAGTTGTGTTGGAATAGACAGTGAGTGGTTGGGTCTCTGCTTTTGCAACATCTCATGAGCTTGTAGGCATCTGTTTATCCAGGCTGAAAAGTTGTAGCCTGATCTGTTGCTTCTCAATACATAAGCAGCAATGCCATAGCTTTGTTATTTCTTGTCACCCTCTTTTGGAAACTTTCCTAGTTTACCTGTCTCTTTGAAGCTTGGGGGATCAGGGCAATATCTTTCAGAGTGCCGGTTGAACGTGGCTTTCAGCATCCTTTCCTAGTTCTTCCCAACTCCTGTCTGTGAGGAGAGGAACCCGCTGCTTCTGAGGATTTATATCTTGCACCTCTTCCTTTTGGCGAAACTGTATTTTAAAATCCCAAAGTAGTCGTCCTTACTGATGCTAACCTTAGAGTCAATGCATTGGCATGGGAAATCAGTATTGGGCTTTTTCCCCAAGTCCACCACATGACTTCTTTTCTCAATTTATTGCCAATCACTCAGCCTTTTAAGTCCTCTTGAAATTCTTGAGTAGGCACATCTCTGCTACTCTGGAGAAGTCATTTGCAGATGATAATGGCACCAGCACTTAACCCTCATCATGGCCCCTGATGGGAGCAAATTCCTTCTTTACTCCTCTCCTTTCACATTGTTCAGTTAGTCATGAACGGTTCTAAACTTCTGTTTTCAAATTTTCTTAGCCACTAGAATATTGTTACGAGTATTTGGACCTCCTGCTTTGTCCTGCTAGCACTGCATTTTGCCAGAAAATAACATGTAAATATTATTTTGTTAACTGCAAATATCAGATGATAAAGATGGGTGAATAGTTTTGCCTGTCCAGGATGACATTATTTCACAAAACGAGCGATAATTAATCGTGTATTATTCTCCAACATACTGTTCATGTGTTCCTCTTCTCCTTCACACTTGTAGTCTTTTTTGCCTGTTGGAAGCACCAAATTATTGGAAACAAATGTATTAGTATAATTCAGTTCTCTCAACAACATTCTTACTGTTTTCTTGTCTGTTTGATTTTTTTAAGATGGCCTGGTTGTCTCTGGAAACGTGAAAAGCAGCGACGTGGATGTGAAAGTTACAAAGTCAGACCTGGAAACTGATGAAAAAGGAGTGGAGGAAGAATCCACAAGGGAATCCAACAGCAACATTTTGGATGTGTCATCTGATTATCCAAGAGGTTTGCTAATAAACTGTTAATATTTGTGTTGTGTGCTTGAGGAAATGGGGAGAAAGGTAGAATTAGTGGGGAACAAAGGTTAAGGGAATATGAAATCTCATTTTCCATACATCCAGTAGGTATGGATACTTTTTCCCACGTGTGTAAATAAATTATTAAGGTGTTGGAAATATCTTTGAAATGAGATGCCATTTTCCCCTTACTAACATTTCTAGACATCACTGAAATTGACAAATACATAGTGACAGAAGAGAAATCAAGGTTAGATGAGGTATGATTTACATTAGGCTCTGATGCTAAAGCACCATAGATGTCAGAGAAAAATCATTGGTACCTGAATGCAGAAATGAAAAGCTAGGAATTGTTTTTAACCCTGGCTTTAAATTTCACCTCTGTATTTTAAGCACATTAATGAATTGCTATCTTCGTTTCACTTAACCTGAAGACTTACCTTTTAAAAACATCATAAAAGGTTTAAAATCGCTGGAGAATCAGTACTGCTGGTAAACTGTAATATCCTGTGTGCTGAAGCCAATAAAGCTGATTATTTGATAAGCCAGTTATCTTGATTTTAGCAAATTCCCCACTGTTTCCCTAGATTAATTAAAGTTAAAAAATTGGGAGGTAAATTTAAAGGTTGAACACTCCTAAGGAAATAATAAAAAAAAAAAAGTGGTAGAATTTAATGTATCCACGCTATACAGTGAATAATTGTTATTTACAATTGGTCCACTTCTAGCTGTTATTTCAATTTTGGCAGACAGTTCATAGGATGTTTTTATAGTGCTTTGTGCACAATTTGCATTCACTAACAATGCTGAGCATTAAAATCTGAAATAAACAGAATGTGATTTCATTTTTTCAGCTTGCTTTTTGTTTGAAGCAAGCAAAATGATGAAGGTATTTACAATTAGAGAAATTTGATGTGTGTCAGCATTAAAAAGAATGTAGAAATATATGAATCTTGTTAAAGAACCATTCTGGGGATTAATTTTGCTGTCGTTTTTTCTACCATGGAAGTTAAAGGACACAAATATTCCAGTTGATACTGTGGTCATTCTCTAATAGTGTTAGATTTTAAATGATGCATAAAAAAATAGCAATAAACTAAATAACTTTTTAACTAACAATGTTTAACTTCTAAATATCTGCTTTTTAGAGAAACACATTTCAATTCAAAGACATCTTGCTGATCTAGAGAAACTAGCTGATGTGAAAGAAGGTGAGTTTACCGTGTCAATATCCCAGAACTTCATATTACAGGTATTTCCATTTTTTCTTAGTTTTTAACACAGTATCTGTATTTCTAATGCTTGAAGACTAAGGGTTTCATAAAAAATAGCTTTATGATTTGTTCCCTTGCTTATCAAATATTGTATTCTTTCAGTAAATTTAATGCTTTGGTGATTCCTTTCCATCTTTTTCCTTTGCATTGTAACACTCCTAGTGTTGGCAGTGTGCATGGATCAGCACAATATTAATTCTAGCTATACCTCAGCAGCTTAGCCTCATTTTTATTTTACTTCCAGTGCCAGAATAACAGGGAAGCTAATTCTTGTCTTTGCAGTGTTTAAGTATCAGTTTAAATAAATAGGTATTCTGTTCGGATGATTGGGGGTTTTTGGTTTGGTTTTGTTGGGTTTTTTTTCCCACTTTGTATTAATTTCTGAGGCAGATCTATATTGGAGGATTGCTTTAAGACTGCAAAGTGTTTTTATTACAACTTTTAGTTTTCTCTGATTACGTCTATATATTAAGTGCTGGTAGTGGCAGCCCTTGCAAGTGAAACTAGTTTTTATTCATAGATCACAAAAAACATCAGTGTCCACATGGGCTCTGTATCGTACAGCTTTTGTGCCTGAATCATCTTTTACAGTGGCCATTGATGGAAATAATATCCTACCTCCATGTCTGTTTAATTTTACTAACAAATACGCCAAAACTTTTATAGAGTTAATTTCATTTTTAATTAGGAGATAGATTATAAGTATCTCACAAGTCAATAAAAGAGGCTGAGCAATGTTAGAGAGCACTGGTGATTTATTTGGTGAGCTTCAGGCTGCCTTTGTTGGCATCAGTGGCATGGCACTCTGCGTGAGCATAGTAATCCACTCATTAGAAAGTCATAAAGGAATTTCACTGTTTTGCAAGTCTAAGACAAGTAATTGGTTTTAGAGATGCCCATTTTGCGTGGCATGTTTCAGTACTGTTCTAACACATAGAAGCTTTTCTGCTAAGTTCCACAAGAGGTTGGTTTACATTCAGCAGTCTTAAGCCCCAGCAGCAGATGTGTGCATGTTCTGATACGTAATCCCTGCGTACAGCTCTACAGCATTCGTCTCCCAATGGCTAGTTTTTATTTAGGTTAGTACTTTTAACACCTTTGATATCAGATAATCTTGCCTTTGCTTTTTTGTCCCTTACACAGGATTACAAAGAAGAAAAATTACTTTAACATGGAGTACATTCTCTTTTTTTGCAGCTTAAAAAGATAACAGCTGGTTTTTTTTATCTAAAAGATTCAGGAGAAGGAAAGACAGCTTCTTGTTTTAACCTCTTCAGTTGGGTTGGGGTGTTTTTTGAAACACGGCGTCTAGACTTTGTCTATAAAATCCTGTTACTCTGCAGCAATCTAGAGATATTGCATTAGCCTCATGTTGCTGGAGAAAACAAAAGCTAAAGATTGTCGGTGTTGATGATCTTCAAAGTAATAGTGGTTCTTGTCTAGATTCAGTTGAGTAGAAAGAGGCAATGCAAATTGAAGTTTGTGTGTACCCACAATGGAATATACCCTGGGGAATTAATCTTTAACTTCCATTAATGGTACCTTCATTCTTTTTCCTCTTAGCATACATTTCTATTAACATGAGTGGTAAGCGCATTTTGTATGTTTCTCATACTTTTTGCTTATTTGTATTTTCAGATGAAAAGAAGCCTTGTCCATTGTGTCCTGAGGAGAAATTCAGAGCTTGCTATAGTCATAAACTTCATCGTCACCTTCAGAATTTACACTGGAAAGTTTCTGTTGAATTTGAAGGTAGTGGTAATCATATTTAAACAGTAAATGCTAGAAGAAATTATGGACATGTAGGACACTGTTCTGTGTTTCATCTTTTTAAATTCCTCTTGACTTCCATCTTGTTAACCAGCTTGGAATCAGAACCGTATTTTGACACAATGGATTTTGACCTGGGATGCAAAATGTAAATGTAAAAGAACTCTCTATTCTGCATGCAAACGAAACAATTGCTTGGCATGTCATGAAAACTGCTATAACATTTAAGATATGTATGTAATGAGAATTACTTTAATGAAAGTTTTGGTTATATTGTTAATAATCAGACAATGCACATGTGGTCATTTTTGGCTCGTTATAAAGGTTCCATAATTTCAGTAAGTACTTAATTAAAGTATTTATTTGGTATTAGTGTTTGGCAGCCTTATCTATTTTTTAACAGGTCTGCTTGTAAGTTGCATTAGAGTCCCTACAAGAACTTTTAAGAAGGAAAAGAAAGTGAGCAGTATGTGTTTTTTAAAGAACTAGGTGTATGGGTTTGCAGGGAATAAAATGATTAATTGGAAGATGGACAAGATTAAAGTTAAACTAAAAATGATCAGACTGGAGTTCTGGTTTTGCATGCAGGTCTTTTTTGTTGTTGTGCTGGGTGTTCTTTGGTATGTTTTTTTTTAGCTGTGGAACATATGTTTTACAGGAGTCTTCACACAAATCTTTCAGCCAGGTCAAAATATTTTTGTAAAATGCTTGTAAGTAGTTTTGAAAGTTATGTACCATATAGCCTGAAGACTCAATGTAGCTTTGTAGGATGCTAACAGACTTGCTAAAATGAATAGCCCATATGTAATTTTTGTGCATTTTAAATTTTGAAATGTATAATTAGCTGATAAATTTCCTTGTGAAAAGGGTGAATGTAGCAAATAATTGACAATGTTCTTATTGCTCTCTCGTGGCAGTATTTGGGAATCTTAAATGAGACCATGGAGTATAGGGCATATTACTTTGTTTTTACCTAGTGTACTGTGATGTGACAAGAACTTGTTTTCCAGGATACAGAATGTGCATCTGTCACTTACCTTGTCATCCAGTGAAACCAAACCTTGTTGGAGACCAGGTAAGAAATGCTGAATTGCAAATACTTGTTACCCTACAGAGTGAGGGAAATGGGTAGAGGAACTTCTGCAATCTACTTAGTTGCAAAATATGTCTTCCTGTCTGGTGTGGGATACCAGAACATTATCAGTCCAAAATACAAGTATTTGATGTAATCCTTGGGTAGTTGAACGTAGTTGGATATCTTATTTTGGTGTGTAGCTGCCTAGATCACGTAAAACAGTCACAGTGTTTTGAGTAAACAGCAGCTTTGTGTGGAAGAGATGAAAGGTTCATTAGGTCAGGCAATAGATGCTTCTCAGTTCCTTCCCTGTATGCTGGGTGTATGGCGTGTTGGCAGAGTTCAGTTGAACGTGGTGCTGTGGCAGGATAGCTGTGCTGTGTTGTGCTGGTTCTGCAGGTATGATTATGCGCAGTCTCTGTAGCTGTAGATTCAAAATATTTTGAATGCGCTGGAGGTAACAGATGACTTCATATGCCTGTGTTCAGGTATAGCTCTGCTTTAACCATGTTTATATATTCAAAAAATACATGTATTTTACAGACATTTTCAAAGATGGGAGCCCATTACCATTGTATCATCTGTTCAGCAACTATCACGCGAAGAACTGACATGATAGGTCATATCAATCGTCATGTGAATAAAGGAGAAACTGAATCAAGGTTTATTACAGGTAGATTCTTACTTATGTAAACCATTCAATCCTTTTATATGTAGCCTGTGTTGAGAATTAGTCTGATTTCTTTTTTATGTCTGTGTAGGCGTGTGGATTTTATCTTGATACACTATAGTAAAGATGAACCTGGGAGCCATGAGGTTCAAACTTCTTCCTGTTATCAATACGCATTTAGGACTAGTAGTTTAGTGTCTGGACATCAGTTTGCACATCTGAGAAGCAATAGTAGTGCCATCCATACCATATTCCATACCTTTAACTAAATCCTGTTTAGATTTTATGTTGTGAAGTATTACTCTCTGTATGGTTCATACAAAGGTTAAGTGCTGAAATTGTCCCTATGTTTGCGCTGACGGTACACATTTCATGAAGCTGTTTGATAATGTACAGAGATTAGGTCAAGGTATTTTGAGGGATTTTTTGCAGTTCGTTGATCTATATTCAGGATTGTGTTAATAGGGTTTTAATTAATTGGCAGTGTTTCATGTTTGAATCATAGAATGGTTTGGGTTGGAAAGGACCTTAAGATCATCTAGTTCTAGTTCCAGCCCCCCTGCCATGAGCAGGGACACCACACACTAAACTATGTCGCCCAAGGCTCTGTCCAGCCTGGCCTTGAACACCTCCAGTATTGGAGCATTCACAACTTCCTGGGCAACCTATTCCAGTGCCTCACCACCTTCACTGTGAAGAACTTCTTCCTTATATCTAACCTAAACTTCCCCTGTTTAAGTTTGAACCCGTTACCCCTTGTCCTACCACTACAGTCCCTAGCGAAGAGTCCCTCCCCAGCATCCTTATAGGCCCCCTTGAGACACTGGAAGGCTGCTATGAGGTCTCCATGGAGCCTTCTCTTTTCCAGGCTGAACAGCCCCAACTTTCTCAGCCTGTATTCATAATGGAGGTGTTCCAGCCCTCTTATCATCCTCGTGACCCTCCTCTGGCCTTGCTCCAACAGCTCCATGTCCTTTTTATGTTGAGGACACCAGAACTGTACACAATACTCCAAGTAGGGTCTCACGAGAGCAAAGTAGAGGGGCAGGATCACCTCCTTTGTCCTGCTGGTCACGCTTGTTTTTATGCAGCCCAGGAATTGAACATACAAAACGAATGTGCTAAGCCTCAGGTTCAGGGGATTGCTTTCTTAAATTTGAGTGGATACAGAGGAGTCCAACTGAGAAACAAATCTGATGTTTTATGGGTAGAAAATTGTGGTAGAGTTTGATCCATATCTGCTGCTCTTAGGACTAGAGGCTAAATTGTTGCTTGCTTTTTTACCCACATGTACTTGTTAACTGATCTGTGTGCTTGCTGAATTACAGCATAACCCAGATTTCTCGCTATATGGGAGCAAATTCCTAATTTAATTTATCAAATGTGTTAATGTCAGTTCTCACTAATTCTTTCCTTCCGTCACGATTATTTCTTCCAGTTCCTGCTCCCAAATCTTCTCTAGAGGTGCTGAAAGAGTCAGCCACAGATGTGCAGGTTCTTCCCAACTACTCCACACCTCATAAAACAGATTCTTATTTTAATCCTAAAATGAAACTCAACAGGTAAGAGATCAGAGAGTGGGAGGATGTACCAGGGGATCTCTGAGTTTGTAGTGAAAAATATTCATCCATTCTGAAAAGCAGACTCTGCAAAACTTTTGTTCAGAGGGCAGGAGAAATAGTTTTCTATCAGAAAACTTCACTTGACAAATAATACTTAAACCCAAGAACACTATATGGGAAATACTATAATTTTGAAGCAGTTGAAGTATTTTTCTGTAATGAGTAGTTTATGGAGAATTAACAGGATTTGAAAGAAGCACACTTGAAAACTAACTTTATTGTGTACACTTAGCAGCGTTTTTCTGTTCCTGTCCGCAAGATACTATGGGTAGTCACTGCTCTCTTTCGTCTAACTGAAGAGCAGCATACTTAAAATTTACACTTTTCATATCTAGGCCTTTTTCTCTTGGGACTCAGATTCTCGCAAGTGTCTTCTCATCATTTGCATTAAAAAAGATGAAGACAGAAACATTGTCTTTTTTTGAGGGGAGTCATAAATGGTGTCTGTACCACAGGGGAAGGCTGTGAGAATTGACACCAACATGTGGGACTGCACTTCAGCCCATGCCAACCCCTCATGTTCTCAGTGCTGTGTATATGTGAGCTTCCAGGTTTAGCTCAGATACGTCTGAAAGCTAGGACATACCTCTCATGAAAGCCATTGCAACTCACGGTATGGCCATGTCTAAAAGAACCAGGCCTGCTCCCCAACACAGTGGAATTTCATTGCTCTACAGGACATATTTTTAAACACAGAGCTTTAGTAGGGTCGTATCAGATTGTGCTAGGAAAGTAGGAAAAACAATATTTACTTTTGAATGCTAGCCACTTTTTCCAGTGTTAAGAGTAACTAGTAAGTTGATTCAGGATCTTGCCATGTGAATATCTGCTGTAGAATTGAATTTGTTAAAGGTAGTTGAGGTTTTCGATTTACAATTCTTCTCTGTAAAAGGTAGAGTTTAGGTTAAATGTTCTAGTTTTATATTCAAGGGAAATAAATAAGGAAAAATATTTTTCAACTTACTATGACCATTCTTTTTTCTTTTCAAGGCAATTGATATTCTGTGCACTAGCTGTTCTGGCTGAGGAACGTAACCCTATAGAGTGTTTGGATGCTTTTGGTGCCACTGGTAAAGTCAATTTCTTTAATATTTTGGCTAATATCCAGTAGTATGAAGCTGCAGAAATCAGTAGTAACTGAGGTTTAAAAGTATTAAAAAATACTGTGAAGTAAATAATAATTTTCTTCCTTAGGCAGTCATCAGCTTCCATACAAAAAAAACAACTGTCAAGAGCCTGGTATTAGGCCTTTTAAAAAGACTGTACGTAATATTAAATCAAAGTTTATTGGTCTCCTTAAAATCAGTTGCCTTAATGGCCATGAAATGGCATCTTTCTAAACTTGTGTCCAAGGTCATACCTATCTTCTGGCTCCATGGCTGTGGAATTTGGCTGTAAAATCAACCTGTGGTTTAAAAACAGTGATGAATCCAAGCTTCTATATCAGAATCATCTCTTAATTGATTACAGAAATTCTGAACATGAACTATAAATATAAAGTAGTTATATCAGTGCCTGTCAACCATCTGGAACTAAAATCTGAAGAGATCTGGATTGCTGCCTTATTACCAGACAGCTACTGTAAACTTAAGGTCATAGTTGAGAACAGCAGTAACCGCTCAGCATTTTGTATAAAAATTCTTGCTAATGAATTCATCACCATTCTGAACTAGGCCAGACCTCACAGTACATCCTGTCCTGTACTCTACAATGTAATCACAGGCTTTACTAGAAAAGTCAGCAGTAAACACTTAGAGGCAGCCTGAAAATCTTCCCAGCACTTACTCTCATGTTCATGTTTTATGGTGGTCTGTCAAAGGAGTCTTGTCTGCTACACTGGATTGTTAAACAAGCCAGGATTGTGGGTCCAGGTTGCCACAAAAATCACAGGTCTTCCAGTCTATCAATCATATAAGAATGTGACAGACATATTGTCCCTTTACATACCCCATTGTCACTGTGCTGAGGCAGAAGGTCGCCAACACTTTTTTGCATGAATATGCTGAAATTCACATCACACACATTTCTGTATTACAAGTATTTAAAAAGGCAATTTTTTTTTTGTTGGCGAGTTCAACAATCCAGAAATCCTTATTCTGACAGGGAGTTACAATTCTGTCTTTCCTTAGGTATAATGGGATTGCAATGGGCAAAGCACCTCAGAAGTTCTGTGAAAGTTACGATTAATGATTGTAATGAAAACTCTGTGACAATGATTCAGGAAAACTGCCATTTAAACAAAATGAAAGTGAAACTAAACATTAAGGAAGAAGACCATGATGAAGCTGTGGGAGATGAAGAAGGAAATACTGATACCATTGAGGTGACAAAAATGGATGCCAATGTTATAATGCATTTGAGATCATTTGATTTTATGTAAGTGTTGAATGTTTCTGTTAATAATTATCTGGTCTGATAATGATGCACCCTACCTCATCTCCCAGTATATGATAATTTGGAAAGTTGGACTGTTGGAACAACCAGCAGTCACTTGGTATTTTAAATGTAATTCTGCTGTCCCAGAAATGGTGTAGGAATAGAACTTTAATCATAAATGGTTTTGAAATCACTGGAAAAAATACTAAGCACTTCTGACATCCAGAATGGACTGTAAATGTACATGAAAATTTTAAGCCAAACTTTTTTTATATAGAATTTCATTATCTGTTTGATAAAGAGTAGTGTCAAATTAGTCTTTTTTTTTTTTTTCCTTAAAACTCCTAATTAGTTTAAAGTTCATAACTCTGTGTGCTGTTGTGTAGAACTTCATTGCATCTCTTGTTTTCATCCATTTTGCGGCATATTGATTTTCAGTTAAAGTATGCTAATTTTTCCAAGTTGGTTTTATAGATACATCAAAATGAATGATTGGGGTTTTTTTTGGTACTAACATCCAGATCTAAGCAGCAGGTATTCAGGCTGAAAAATACCCTAATTATTTAGTACATACTTTCAAATGCGTGCATTCCAGTTTATTTTTCTTTTTGGAAGCTTCCCTTTAAGAATGAAGGTAAGCATCAGGGCAATATTCTTGTAACTTGAATTAGTCAGTGGGTCAGGATGCAACAAGAAGTACTTGCTGTCTTTGTGGTCATGTGTATTTTTCATTCAACACAGTGCTTCCCTGGGTCTTACAATTTGACACTTCAGTATTTGACAGTAATTCATGAGAGGTGTGCTGAAAATTTTAGTCCAGTTTCCTACTTTGTTTTAAATGCGATCATGGGTGAAGTTTACAAAAACAGTGTTTTCCTCAGTTTAAAGCTGAACTCTTGAACATTTATAGATACTCAGCGGCACTTTCTTTTCAGCCATTTGGACCCCTTTGGAACTTCTGTGAATTATCTAGATTCTGCCTTTAGAAATGTGAGAAATCTTGGAATTGTGTCATTGACATCCACAGACATCAGTTCTCTGTATGCAAAGGCTCAACACGTTGCCCTGCGTCATTATGGATGTAATATTGTCAGAACCGAGTACTACAAGGAGCTGGCAGCCAGAATAGTAATTGCTGCTGTGACAAGGTACTGCTAAATCAGCTGAAATTATAGTAGAAAAGTTATTAGAAAATTATTAGCCATAAAAGACCTAAGACTGCTGCTGTAGGTTGTACATGTTGACTTTCCAGAACTCCGTAATTGTAAAAGCCAGACTTCTTGTTCTGAAATTAGTATTTCATATTCTTTATGTGCTGGTATGGGATAATCTAAATTTTTAACTAAAGGACTGGGAAATGTATAAATGCATAAATAGGGTAGTGGGTTGGGATGGTGGGGAGGTTTTTTGGTGACGGTAATAAAAAAAATAACACCCAGATTTGCCTTTCTGCAAACTCTTTTATTCCTCTGTCAATGTTGTCATTTTAGTGCTGCATAGGACTTTGGAAATATTAAGTTGCTTGAATGGCTTCTAGCTAAATATTAGAGCTAGTTTCGCTTCAGTGGAAACCGATGTTCAGATCCTCATGCTTGAGGTTAATAAGATAGATGTAATTAATGACTTGTGAAATTAGTCATCCGCATATAGATATTCTCTGTAAATTCAGTCTGTTAAATAAAGGAAGACATAAAACCTGGTTCCTAACTGGAGGAAAAGAAAAAAATGCAGGCAAGAGGATGGGCCAACTGCTCAGGAAAGATGAGGAGGAAATTAAGCAGAGGTCTTCAGAGTGCCAGAGCGCAAATACTGTCCTGAGTATGTTTAGATTTGTGTACATGAGGTTGTTCCCTGCAGAATATTCTTAGATTACAGACATTTTGCTCAAGCAAAGTTTTAATTGTGTTCTGGGCTACGTGCTCTTAACTCCCTAAAGATTTCTTTGTTCTCAACGCTTACCTACTCAGGAACAGCTGGCTTGCCTTCCCGTAGTCTTTATTCAATTAACATGCAATAATTTACCATCATGTGTGTCCCTCTACATTTGTATATTCTCGGATTTTCATTTTTGAAACAACATATTTTTGTTACAGTATCATGGCAATAGATAGGTATTTGGAAAGAAAGATGATGCAGGTGGCAAAACAGTATTTCTAGACATGATAAAAGGATGTAAAGCAAGATGTGCTTAGCTTTCCAGCAATGAGACAAAACTAGGCACTTACAAAACACGCTTTCTCCTGATCACTTTCTCAGCTCTTTAGTATCTCCTTCTAGAAAGTGGATGACCTCAAGAATCTTGCAGCAGGTTCAGGTGTCTGTGGCAATGTTAGTCTGCTAACTTCAGTACAATTTGGTTTTGTGTTTGTTTTTTCTTTATAGAGCTGCAGCTCGCTGTAACAAAGGCATTGAAGTTTTACTTGCAGTAGCTCTAGAACATTTTGTTCTAGTAGTGGTCAGAGTTTTAAGGGGACCATCCCCTGCAGATGATTCAGCCAAGAAGATAAGATACCTCATCCATTGCCAGTGGTGCGAAGAGAGAATTTTTCAGAAAGAGGGTAACATGGTAGAAGGTAAATGGCTCTTCTTTTGCACTTTCTAGAAGGTCTGATTCCTGTGTATGTTTCATGCTTTAGGTCTTGTTTATATTTACATCCTTTTAATGTAACAGTGAATGTATTGTATGAGGCAAAGAAGGTATCTCTACCTCATTGTATGATGTGGAGAAGGCATCATGCTTTGTGGTACTGGATTAGATTAGTTGTCTGCATGGATTTTGCTGTAAATGCACTTGATTTGTTTCTAGACAGGACATACTCCTAACTAGCTATAGCTGCTGAAGCTGCCAGGATGCTTGATACATCCATGGATCTGTCTTCTCAGGAAAGGGCATGAAAAGTGGCACAGTCTTTGCTGCCGTTTGGTTCCTACGTACAGTGGCAGCTTGGTAGATTTCAGCGTCAGATTGCTTTTCTGCTGTTCATTTCAGTTACCATAATATGTAGTGGACTAAACGGTATCTCTTCCCCTGTATCTGTACATGCCTGGAAGTATCTTGGCAGGTGTGGTAGGAAAGGTGTGCACCATTCCTGTAATTCATATGATACTTAATGGTAGATGAAGGCAGCCTCTAGGTTAGAAGTTGACTGTTCATGGGCTCTAGACACAAGTTAGCAGAGGTAGGAGACAAAAATTAAGCTAGGAGATAGCTACCAGCCAGCTGGTAGTTTGAATTAATATAAAAGGAAAAACCCTGTTTCAAAGCTTTGGTTTCTTGGATATCTTTACTACTAACTGTGGTGTCTGACTGCCCCACATGAAATAAGGTGCATGAGCATGCAATGAGCTTGTTACTAATAATTGTTACTAAATCAATTAGATACTGAGGACAGGAATGAGTAACCAATAAGTACAGTGTTATGATAGAAATCTTAATTAGCAAGTTAATTGTATACTTAAAGACTTAATTGCAAGCAAGCTGACTTTGGCTTAGAAAACTTGTAGGTGGGCTCTATTTTGTAGATGTAATTGGCTGTTAGTTTTTTTTCTCTGTTGATATTTACTGTTAATTTGGACAGCTACTTCTGTGAGGTGTAGGAAGGCTCATTATCTCCTTGTTATTCAGAGTCTGCCAAGAAACAGAGGAAGTTGTATGACTTTTTTTTTTTGTCCTCAATGTTTTAACAATGACTACGTATCAATCACTGAATTCTCATAAGCACTGCTTGGCAGAAGTGAGAATGTGTCACACTTCCGCTGTGTCTTGCCCTTCTAAATACCTCCACTGAAGTAAGCTACTACTTCCTATCTATGTCATCTCTCCGGTAATGCAGGCATTGCTGACTATTTTCCTGGTTTTCTGTTGCAGAAAACCCTTACCAGCAGCTGCCTTGTGATTGTCATGGCAGTATGCCCGGGAAGACAGCAGTAGCTCTTGGTCCTCTCTGGTAAGTTCAGAACACAATACAGAATTGGAGAATAATTTAGGTTGGAAGGACCTCTGGAGGTCAGCTGTTCAGTCATATAATAAAAGTGCAGGTCTGCTGGGTAAAGAGGTGCAGCAACTGGGAGGAATTCAGGAAACATTTAATTTATCTGAATTTAGTAGGGTATTCAGTTCTTGGTTTTGTTAATAGAGTTCAAACCAGTTAATAAACAATAACAACCTTGCTATAAAGTTCAGATTTAGTACAACTGATGTAATACCTCCTGCACAGAACCTGTCTCTATTCCTCTAGTTGCCAAATGTTAAGCAACTGGTTTTTTACTCTGTACTTGTGGAGAATTTATTTAGTAAATCCTTACATGGCTGACAGTAGTAAATAATACACTGCTTGGTAATTAATACTTCGAATTTTCTCTTGTGAGAAACAAGAATAAATCTCTTTTAAGTCTTTCAGCCATTTCAAAGCAGTGTTAAAAATGGCTTACAATCGACAGTACCTTTCTTCTGGGGATTGAGTTACTTTCTCAACATAGTAGGGCAGAAATAAAATTGCCATTCCTGAGATCCTGTTTTGTTTTTTTTTTTTAAACAAGAGACCAATGTTGCTGTCGTTACAAAGAAAGCAGTTCAGTATTGCTAAAAACTCAGTCAGTCTGATAACATAACTGCTGATCAATCTGGGCAGGAGGTTTTTAGAGCAACTTTTTTGCTTTCATTAAGAAGTCTCAACTTTTCACCTGTCTTGCATTTCATAGGTCAGGACCCCTCTTTAACACTGGATTCCTCAGACGGATGCTGTTTGAGGCTGTCCAGTATGGTTTGGATGAAGCTCAGCCACTTTTGAAGACATTAGTTTGTGAAGCAGAGTGCACAACTTCAAAACACTTTTCTACCCATAGTCCTTATGATGAGAACAAACAAGGTAAGAAAAATGGCAGACTGTTCACAAAAAGAACTGGCTTTGCAGTGATTTAGAAAGATAGAATCATAGAATAGTTAGGGTTGG